AGATTATCTGCAACTGCCCAGAGGACCTTTTCGGCTATCGCTCCCAGATTTTGGAACGACTTGCCGGATTAGATGCGTCACTTGGTCACCTTAAACAGCTTTTAAAAAGTTGTTAAGCAGGCCTTTCCTGAGTACATAACCGGCCACCGAAAATTGTTATGCCTGTCCCTCATTTTCTCTTTGGAGAAATTATACCTATAACTATATACATCAGGGGTCGGCAACCTTCTCTTACCTGGGGCCGGTCCCTTCCAGCGGTCGCTTCCGGCGGGCCGGGGGGGGGCATGTTGCAGCCTCTATTTTGTTTGCCAAAATGGTGGCTGCGACTCTTTTGTGCAGGAGTACTGCGCATGCACAAACGAGTCGCGGCCGCCAAAACACGCGGCAGTGGCGGGGGCCAGTAAGCGGGGGTCCGCGTGCTAGATGCGGCCCGCGGACTGTAGGTTGCCGACCCCTGATATACATGGTGTACTAACACATGGGGAAAGTAGATTATTCTAAAGATTTGAGCGAAGCCTAGACTCAACTCTCTGAGATTACAATCATCTGAAGCACAATGTACCCATGCTAGCAATACTTCATGGTGAAAGCTCAAACCTCTGGAGACTAGGGTTTGAATCCCCGCTCGGCCACAAAAACCCACTGGGTGACCTTGGGCAAATTACACTCTCTCAGCCTCACAGGATGGCAACGGCAAACCCCCTCTGAAGAAATTTGCCAAGAAAACCTCATGATAGGGTGGCCATAAGTCAGAAATGACTTGTAGGCAAACAACACACACACACACACACACACACACAACCATCAGCTGAGCTGTACCAACTGTGTTAAATCTCTCATATAACTTCCTTGTCAGATCTCCCAACCCTGTTCAATGCACAGGATGTTTATATCTGGGGAAATATTTATACACACTGCCCTAGCAAAGAAGATTCTTTCTTTCTGCACAGTGACCCAAACCTTCTGTACACAAACTGTACAATGGGAGGCCATAGGAAGGCAACTAGTTCCACTGCTAGTAAAGTTATCTACAATCTTCCAGCATGACACATATAGACTTTTGCCCTTTCCAACCAAGCATACTGGACAGGACATGTAGCAGTATTTCCTACACCACTCAACCTTGCATCATGATACTCCAACTTACAATTATATTTTACCTGTTTTAAGCCTCTTTTGTCTTTTATGGAAAAACAGAGAGCATCAGAACGTGAGTGGAAGGGAGTTTCTTTTTCCTGATCCTGGTTTCTGTTTTTGTCCTTGTTTTAATGAAAAGCACAGGAGGCTTGCAATGGGATGTTTACCATAGTCTGCAAATCTCAAGAGAACTACATTCGTAAATCGTCATTAATACAGAGAAAGCATTAAGGGGTAGTGCAGGGAGCTAGCATGGTGCAGTGGTTTGAGCACTGGACTATGACTCTGGAGACCAGGGTTCAAATCCCAGCTAGGCCATGTAAACCCACTGGGCGACTTTAAGTAAGTCACACCCTCTCAGCCTCAGAGGAAGGCAATGGCAAAACCCCTCTGAAGAAACATGTCAAGAAAACCCTATGATAGGATTGCCTTAGGGTCGCCATAAGTCAAAAACTTGAAGGTCAACAACATCAACAACAACAACAACAGAGTGAGTTAGGCCTCTGGTGCTAGGTAGATGCCTTTCTCTGACACTGAGAGGATGACTTGCCCAAGATCATCCACTGGGGTTCCATAGCTGAATGGTCTCTAGATTCATTGTCCAACACTCAAACTGCTACACCTAAGTTAGATCAAAACAAATATTTATCCAATCATAATTAAATATAAAGGCTAGGCATCATATGGCCTTCCAGATATTGTTGGATCACAAGTCTCAAAAGCCATAATCAGCAGCATTGTCAAAAATAAGGAATAGTGGACTAATAGTATGGAGTTACTATTAAAAAGATAGGCAGATTTGAACTAGGCAAAAGGAATGAAGCAGGTGAGTGTCTGATACATTTTTGTGAAGCCAACAACCTATTCATTGCCAACACATTTTTCATACAACCAGAGAAAAGGTTATACACATGGACATCACCAGGTGACATACACAAAAACCAAACTGGAAGTAAAAGATGACAAAGCTCCATACTGGTGGCCAAGACTAGACCAGGTGCTGATTGTGGCACAGATCACGAACTACTCATTTCAAAAATAAAAGTAAAACTCAAGAAGAGAACAAAACCAGTCATCATACCAAAATACGATTTAAACAGCATTTTCACAGAATTCATTGGGAATATAAGGAACAGATTTGCGGTACTAAGTATAATAGATCATGAACTGGAACAGCTTTGGTCTGAAGCCAGGGACATAATAAAAGAAGAATGCATAAAGACACTTCCAATAGACAAAAGGAAAATGAAGAAACCATGATGATAGATAAAACACAAGCAATAAAGGAAAGAAGAGAAACAAAACAAAAAGGAGATAGGAATAAACTTAAAAACATGAATGCAACAGTACAACGGCTAGTGCGCAAAGATAAGGAAAA